TTTTTTTTTTCAGTGCAGCCATGAAGGCTGTTAAAAATGACAAATGTTAGTTGAGATACAGCACAGCACTTGAAATCCTGTGATAAAGTTTTATAAGCTTATAAAGAGATGGAGCATTTTCAGCAGTTAGGAACTGATTTTGTTTCACCTATTTCTAAAAACCTTAAAAAGTCTGAATTATTGCCAACAATCCCAGCCTCTAAACCTTTAACTATTGTTGGTTTGATCATCTTCAGACATTCCTACTAAATAACACAAAATCCAGCATATATGCAACACGGAAATGAAAAAAAAAAAGGTTTGATTTTGAACACAGCTTTCATCAGCTCCAAGTGTGACCACTCGGAAAATATTTCACGTTCAGAAGCAGCAAATTGAATTTGGCTGAGCCGGCACATAYGCACAAACACCAGCATCCCTCATTGATTTCTCTAAAGCTGCTTCTGCATTAGTTGTTATGGCAACAGGCAGGGGCGAGGGGTGCGATACGTGGGCTTCGAGTCGCTGACAGTGATGGCACCCTTAACTGCAGCAGAAKCGTCAGCCAATTATACAAGCAGTGGAGTGTTAGAAAGCTGCCCGGCCCTGATCAGCAGAGACACAGCGATGCTCAGGATGCATTAAGTGGATCAGCTGAAGCTCAATTTCCCCAGTTAGTTGTTTTCTCAGCAAAAGTGGCTCATTTTAAGTTGAGTCTAATTAAAGCTGTGCAGAGAATTGCAGGCAATGAAAGCTGAGAGAGGAAGTAAAAATGATAAGAAGAACCATCGGCAAGTGTGTGTTTGTGTTTGTGTTTTTCCAGGAGCTTTTTAAGTGTCAAACTGCTGAAACAGTGACAATTTTCCTGTTTTATAGAAATTTATGGAAAATTGTAAAGAACTTTTGTTTTCTCTCTGATGCTTTATCGGTGAGGCTCTTAGAAATGTTTAAATGAGTGTAAGAAAATTATGCAAAATGACAACCAAAAAAGATGTGTTTCAAAAATTTGACCCATCATATCGAACAGAGGATTAAGTCAAATTTGGTTAAAATGACCTATCGTATTTATTCATGTATAATACGATYTTGAGTATAATACGCTCATCATTTTTTGATCTTAAAAAGCATAAAAATCGAATTATCAATGACCCGTGTATAATATTATCCCCCCACTTTGTAACATAACCACTGTTTGTTTGTTTTTTTCCTATATAGAATACATTGAAGAGAAAATGTATCATCTGATTTGTATAACAGTTGCTGTTATTTCATTGTAAAAATTATTCCATATTTTCACTTGTAAAACTGATTTGTGGGCAGGTCATGCTGATTTTTAGGTGTGGCTGATATTAGTCTATAAAAGGGGCGTGTGCGTTGGCGCGCGGCGGCGCAATCAGAGAGGAAGACGCTCACCGTCAGATCGTGCAGCGGGAGACTTGAATTGACTGAAAGTTTAGGATAAGTGATCGATCATGGAAAAGAGAGGATAAAAACAGCAGTCAAAGTTCGCCCCAGCGCCACGGATCGTGCGCTGTCGGAGCTGGTTTGGAGCTTGTACCCAGGAAACGCCGACGGGTGCAAGAG